CCTTTTACTTCTGCAAGATAAAAAGAACTTAATAATCTTTGCAACAGCCCTATGAAGTAAGACTTTTCTGATTAGGATTATACTGATAGAAAAACTAGAGGGGAGGAGATGAGTCACAGGTTTAAATTATTGATTTTTGCAGTGTTCTCCACCCCTAATATAGCTAGGTCTTTGTGAGGGTTCAGCTGGGAAATAGGCAGCGGGGCCTGTGGGTAGTCCTCAAGAAGCAATTGGGGGGTGAACAATACAGGAACTCGGGTTATCAGAGTGCTGAGCTGGGATCCAGGTTGGAGGACTGAAACCAAGTTCCAGGAGGACAGAGAGAAAATCCAGAAGCAAGCTGAGATCAGAAACCAAGAGTCAGAGAGCCTGTGTCTAGTTTCAGGGAAGATCCAAGGTCTGGGTCAGGAAAAGCCAAAGCTGAATCAGGAGCCAGGAGGATCAGAAAGAGCAGCAAACATGAGGCTTGCTGGAATAGGCTGTGTCAGGGTATGCCTGCAGCCTCAGCCTGAAGATGTGCTTAAAAGGGTGAGTGGAGCTTGCGGTAGCCAATCTGCTTGCTTGCCTCCCCAGAAAACTAGGGCACCCTCATTAGTGAGGGGTTAGGGGCAGGTGTGGTGGCTCAAGTGCTTGGCCCAGTGGGGGCTGATTGATCAGAGGCCCTGACAATATTTAAGTAAAGTACTTAAGTCCATACCTGTTACCCTTATGTTATATCTTCAGCTAATTTAAATTATACAGTTCAGAATTTTTTTGGTGAAATTTATTGTTATGGTGTGAAAATGTTTGCTTAAAAAAGAATCTTTTTTGTGGAAAAGATTTGATTAATTCTAACAGGTTTCAAGAAGGTCTTTCAAATCTAGAATAGATATTCTGTCCCAAAGCAGACGCCCCCACTTCAGAATGACTTGGTTGTTGGGATGTGGAGACTTAAATTCACGTCCACTTGCCTCCTACATTGAATGTGAAGACCTAAACTATTGCACTATAGAGTCAATCTCTGGCTTTTTAGCCTAAATGAAGTTACTTTTACAAAGTACAACAGCTTCAGTAAGAAAGACGGAGACACTGTTCTTAAAGTAGCCAGTAGCTTGGTAGTTACAGTTCCTTTTAAAAGGTGTAAGATTGAGTTTTGAGTTGTTTTGAAGCCTGGTTTGGAGCCATGCCTAAGCTTGGTTTTGGCAGGTAAGTACCCTAATCACCAAGCCAGGGATATCAACTATATGGCTCACAGTGCCTCCTACTAGTAGGCCTTGGAATTGGGGGGCAAGGGATATTTGAATGTTTCAAGTTAAGGAAATACTTAAGAAACTTGCTGTATTGGATGCCCTATATGTATTTTACTGAGTTGTCACTTCTTGTGAAAATGGTCATTTGTTTTGCTTTTGAAAGATATGGGACACTGCAGGGAATATTATGGTACAATCTGATTCAAGTGCTTTCTGATTATGAGAAATTAAGTACATCAGGCTCATGGACTGAAGTGTACTACAGTTGAATTCTGTGAATCCCAGGCTTTGATGTAGCCTCATTTAATGAAAGTCATGGAAGTAAAAAAAAAAAAAAAAAAAAAAAGAAA